ACACTTAGCCGATAATTTGGTCATTTAACGATTTTAGCTATAATTAGTACCTTGTCTGACGTATGACCTCAACGTGTATGTAAATTTGTAGTCATATGTGTCTATTTGTACTGTGTGTGTAATGTGGAATGAGCCCTGGAAGATTAGCCCTAACGGGCTAAAGGGTATCTTAATAAACTAAACTTTAATTAGGCCATGTTGATTTGATTATATGGATGACATCCTCTGGGAACCTTAAATTTGATGCGAACGTACGAATAAAAAAGGTTTGCCCCCCCCCAAAAAAAAGTTGCTTTCAATATGAAATCTACGTGGTTTTGAAGGTTAAAAAATGACACAGGGTATGGTTTGCTGAATAACCTAGTGTTCAAATTCATTTCTTTACATTTTCGTTTTTGTCGTTTGATTTTGGCATGCTACGACATTGGTATTGTTTTCCAATCTTTTTTTTTCAACTAAAAAAGTTATGAAATGATGTTAAAAACAACTCACCAATAGTGGTATGTTAATCTTGTTTTATCACAGGTCTTGGAGAAGAAAACAAGCTACAGAAAGATCTACAACCTGCTACCAAGGAGCGCGTTGGCAGTCAGTACCTCACCTGTTAAGAGCAAAATTCTAACACTTAGACAGAACGCATTGTTCAAGGTCATATTCACCTATTTTAAGATGGCAAACCGTCTATAGCTTTCAAACGTTGTGTCAGAAAAGATATTATAAATCTATATATAAAACAAAATTCTAACAACGTTGACCAAATAGCCAACGAAAACCTTGACCAATACTAGTACGCTCTCTACTACGGTCTACGTTAAATGGACCTCAAGACATGACGTCATCTTTATCCAATAGCAGCCCGGGAAGTATACACTAAAAGCCGAATGCGCATGTGATTTATAGACCTCTGTGAGCCAAACGTACAAAGAGTTTCCACATTGCTGGTGATATGGGAGACATCGATGTAAAAAAAATATAAAAAGACGTAAAAATACGCTGTGAATATGTTGTATATTTGTAAAAAAATGAGCAATAAGATATATATATAAATGTAAAATTGTATCATGTTGTATAAATACTCGACAAGATGACATTAACCAAAGGACTTTTTGAATTGTAATGAGGCAGTTTTCTTGTTATTAAAAGAGTTGTCATTTATACAAAGATAGTTTGTGTTTTTTTTTTCTTATAGCATTGCCTGTGTGATAGTTGATTTGAATTAGGCAAAATTAATTTTGGATGGCATAAATTCAGAATTGCCTGTGTCCTCTTTCAATTTTTAGTGAAAATCCAGTATCAAAGCTTACTGTAGGTGACAAACTCTTGATAACTAGTACCTACGTAGAGGAAAGATGCCGCGTTCTTTTCTATGTGTCAAAGAACCTTCAAATTCATTTTGATTAAATAGAAAACTGTCTTAAAACATTTGCTCGTACATGCCAGTAAACTCTATTGGCATAGCGAGC